TTTTTTATGTTTTGCGTCTTATTTTTATTTCACAGACATTCAGATTAAAAGTGTAGTGGTTAGAGAAAGTGTACACTATCGAGAATAGGCTCTATGCACTTTATGGTGTCGTTCTCAGTGGATTAATCATCGTTAGCTGCTTATCAAACATATCATAAACATAAACATCGCATCCAACTTGGCTTATTCAAATATGCCAATCAACCGTTTTTTTCAGAAGAAATCCTCCATAAGTTACTTATAGCACTACTCAAGTCGCCATATGGATGCTGACGCTTGTCAATTCAGCGTTGCTATAGCTGTGTGATGGCTTTTCTTTATTTTTTTCTCAGCAATATAAAAACTAGTCGAGTGTGGCTCTGGCTCTGGGTGTGGATAAACAAAAGATTAGTCCTTACCCACACCCGCAACCACACCCACAACCTCAAGATAGAAGTAGAGAGGTGAAGAAAAAAAGAAAAGAAAAATCTGCAACGTCGTCTTTCGATCGCTGTAGCTTTTTTATTTACATACTCTTTTACCAACGCATTGTCACTGACTGTATCGAGAAGAAAGAAAAAAAGATGGCAAAAATAATAAAAATACATTACTGTTTTTGTTTGTTCGTTCGTTACCAGTGAGTTAATTTTGTTGATCACTATTGGTTGTCATAGTCTTATACTTTTAGACGAAGCCAAACAAAACCATGTGCACAATAAATCAATATTTATATCAACCTTAATTTTTTTTGCGGAACGAGGATGTGGGTGTCGGTGGGTGTGAGTGTTGGCATTCGAATTATTATGAAACACCCACATCCACCACACTCTAGCCATCCATTCCTACACCTACACCCACACCATTGCATTCATTCATTCGTATCACATTTTGTTGAGTATATTAAGGGTGTGAGTGTGGGTGTTGGTGTGGGTGGGTGTGGGTGGGTGTGGGTGTGGGTGGGTGTGGGTGGGTGTCGGTGTAGATCTATCTTCTTTAACTTCATTCACTTCCTCACCCACACCCACACCCACACCCTCCTCAACACAGGTAATGGCACATTTAGTGCTCAAACTTCTTACTCAGCTGGTACTGCTCCATACTCAGTAGCAGTCGTGGACGTAAATATCGATAATAAACCCGATATTATTGTTGCTAATGCTGGTTCGAACAACGTCAGTGTTCTCTTGCATTGTTAAGGTTTATCGATGAGTAACCTTTATTTATTCATTAACATTTTACTACTCCACTAAAAACATTACGCTTATAAAATATTATACGATGTGAACTGCTATTTACGCTCGCTCCATATTATGAACTTCAACAAAACATTGCGATTATGGATAATATTGGCAAATATACCAGTATATCCATATATTGGACAATCATTCATCATTTAATAATAACATTTCTAGTTATGAAACGTTTCTGGATACATAGAACTATATATGTATTGCAATTACTCAAAGTTCAAAACATTAGTTTTGGATGTGTAAAACAATATAGAAAAGTTTCATAAGCTTAATCATTTTTCTCTAATCTATTCAAAACAATATTATTCGTTTTCAGCAATCAATAAAATTCTTCTTTTGAAAATAAATAAACTACTATTGATTCTTTGAAGGAAAGTATATTTGAAGGTGTGAATAGTGCGATGAGAATGATGGTAAAGAAGGAAGTCATTCTCACATCCTTCTAGACATAGTTCAATACGGGTGTGGGTGTTATATTATTTGATCATCCTTTCATTCATGACACCCACAGCTTTTTTTGAAATATTCTAATAAGAGAAATAAGTCAACAATGATTTCAATGTATTCTAATGTATAATTTTACAAAAATTGAAATTTTTGATTTCATCAATCTTCGATATCTATTAGTTATATCACAAGAAAATGATATAGATCGAAATGTAAATTTGATAAATAGATGTGTGTTGATGTAATCGGAGAGAAGGTTAAAAGAAGATACCAAATCTGAATCTACATAACCGCACACTCATTCTAGTGTCTGTTAATGATTCAATGAAAGCAAAAAAGTGAATTTCGAAGATGGATGTGGATTTTGCTGATAAATGATATAAGCACGCACGCTCTAATAGCCATATGTTATTAGCAATATGAGAAGAAGACGAATAGTGTGTGTGTGGCTGTGGTCGTGGTTACTTTTACTTGACATCCACCCACACTCTCATTCTACCTCCTGAAAAAACTGTTTTTTGTTTGTCTTTTTACACTTTTCTTTCAGAAAAAACTTGTCGTGCATCATAATTATATTCTCTTTATTGAAAGAATTTTTTTGTAGCCCTTTACGTATTCTCCTTCTAGAAAAAATCCTTTTTATTCTCATCTTCAGAATCTTTTGTCAGAATAACTTGCCCATTATAGTACTCATATTCTTCTTGTTGAAAAAGCTTTTTCGTAGACATTTGCGCATTCTCCTTTCAGAAAAAAGCCTTATCTATTCTCATCTTCAGAATCTTTTTTCAGAACAACTTGTCCATCACGGTACCTATATTCTCCTTGTTGAAAAAGCTTTTTGTAATCATTTCTGCATTCTGCTTCCAGAAAAATCCTTTTTATTCTCATCTTCAGAATCTTTTTTTAGAACAAGTCCATCATGGTACTTATATTCTTCTTATTGGAAGAGCTTTTTTTGTAATCATTTGCGCATTCTCATTTTTGAAAAATACTTTTTTATTCTTATTACCGGGCTCTTTCCGCAAAAAAAAGTTGTCTATCATCGTTGTTACATCCTCAATATCGGAAGGAATATTTTTTATTCTCATTGTTACTGTTTCTTTTTCAAAAAAAAGTATTGTCACTCTCGCACGAAGAGAAGAAAATTATTTCATAACTCCGTAGTAAGTAGTAAGTGTGGCGTTATTTTTTTGTCTTTCGGTGGATAGAAGTAAAGATTGAAGATGAATTTGGGTACTTATCGATTCAGTAGAGTTTTTAACTAGTCGTGATAGTAAGGGTGAGCCAAACAGTTTCATCATCATATACTCTAACGTCAATGCGAAGGAAATAATCTATTTTACCACACTAAGTATCTTGCGGAGTTTTGGATTTAGTGCAGAAGATAGTGTGAAGACAATAATCTATTGACTACATCTCGTAACCTAACGATGAAAGGAATAATTTCATAATTATAATAAACAACCACCACTAAAACTTTGCAAATGTGATCAACAGAAAATTAGATAATTGAATACTTCGACAGTGAAAGTCTCCGTTGAGTAAAGCGGTAACAGAACGGTTGAACAGATCAATATTTCGTTAAATACTCGAACAGTTGTGTCAGTGAATGAATGCATCATTTTGTTTTTGTTGGAAAAGAAAACTTGATGCAAAACGTACAGCGTTTTTTTTCTGGAATAAATAGTTATTAAACTAGAGAGAAAGATTGTTGTGGAAAATAAGAGAAGAAGAGCACTCATAAAATATAGTCAAACATTTATAAAATATTTTAGAAACTAAAGAAGTACGACATGTTTTGGGTAATATTTATTTTATCATCATTTTGTGTTTGTAATTCTATTCTTATCGCTAAAGTACAAAGTCATATAATAGTTGGTAATATGTATAATAATTTATTCAATATAACAGAAAATCAATGTATATGTGAAATGACAAAATTAAATGATTTAGTATCTGCTTTAAATTATTTTTCAACAAATCAAACTTGTCAATTATATCGTTCAAATAGTAGTACAATTTATATTGAATTTAATTCAAATTCAACATTTGTATTTCTTAATCAATCATCAATATCAGTACTGGATATTCAAGAATATCGTAAGTTTTTCTTTCAGATATGACTTGCAGATTATAATTTGACAATACTACGAAAATATCCTAACTATTTCTAGACCCAAATTCTAAAATAATTGCACCTATGAATGATTTTCTTCACTCACTGTAGTTTGTAGTGTTTCCTAATGATTAGTATTTGTCTTCAGAATGAGGTTATCCACAAAAAATGAAGTTGATTAGTGGGTCGAATAGAACTAGATTTTTAACAAAGCCTTATACAGTTTTCTTGCCTTATGTTAACCCATTCTTTAAAATAGAGCCGATTACATCATCATCAACAACAGCATCGTCGACAACAACAACAACAATAACAACAACAACATCATCATCATCATCAGCATCAACAACAACATCAACAACAACATCATCAACAACATCAACAACATCGTCAACAACTTCAACAACAACAACATCATCATCAACATCAAAAACAACTTCGACATCAACTACAACAACATCATCATCAATAACAACATCAACTGCAACAGGTGATAAGTGTGGAGTTAAATAATTAATGCTTATGTTAGATGTTGAAAAGTGAAATAGTTTCACGATATTTAGATATGTAGTGCTTGGTACTTCGAAATATCTCAAATCCAAATAACTAAGACGAGTCTGTTGAACAGAGAACTTCTCAGAACGAAAAAATGATCTTTCTACACGAGGAAGCTGGTATCTGTATACGATGTTGAAGACAATATAGACTAATATTTTCCCAATCGATTTTTCTAAGTATCTGACAGTTCATTATGTTATTGTCGCTTTTCAATACATAAGAATATTCATTCTAACATGCGAAATATATTTTGAGAATGATTGTTATTGTATCTAGAACAACTGAAGGTACTAATTGACGTGACTGTTTTATCCTTCTCTATACATCGACTGAATTAAGAAGTTAGCATGTGAACTGATACGTAAAACTTTGTCAGAATATGAAAGATTGTATTATATTTTTATTAGTGCTATACACTTATTGTTGGTGTGGATATCAGAGTAAGGTTAATGAAATACCCACACCCACACCCACACCCACACCCTCATTCAAAATACTAAAAAGTTTTTGTTTTTGATAGGCTGCAACTCTTTTCATGATCAAACTACTTACTCAGTCGGCACTTCACCAGAGCAAGTAGCAGTCGTCGATGTGAATAGTGATAACAAACCCGATATTGTTGTTGCAAACTCGGGCTCGAATACCGTTGGTGTCCTTCTCAACACAGGCAATGGCACGTTCAATGCTCAAACTAATTACTCGGTTGGTAATACCCCATTTTCAGTATCTGTCGTGGATGTGAATAACGATAATAAACCTGATATTATCGTTACAAACGTTGGTTCGAACACTATCAGTGTTCTTCTCAACACAGGCAATGGCACTTTCAATGCTCGAGGTAATTACTCAGTTGGCAGCTACCCGTATTCAGTAGCTGTCGTCGATGTGAATAGCGACAATAAACCTGATATTATTGTTGCAAACTATTATTCGAACAATGTTGGTATTCTTCTCAACACAGGCAACGGTACCTTTCATGCTCAAAATACGTTTCCAGTTGGTAATAATCCGTATTCAGTAGCTGTCGTCGATGTGAATAGCGATAATAAACCTGATGTTATTGTTTCATACTATTTTTCGAACAATATCAGTGTTCTTCTCAACACACACAACGGTACCTTTAATAATCAAACTAATTACGCAGTTGGCACTCCTGCATTTTCAGTAGCTGTCGTCGACGTGAATAACGACACTAAACCTGATATTATTGGTGCAGACTATGGTTCGAGCACTGTCAGTGTACTTCTCAACAGAGGTAACGGCACCTTTAATTCTCAAACAACTTACTCAGCTGCTGGTGGCCCATGTTCAGTAGTAGTCGTCGATGTAAACAGCGACAATAAACCTGATATTGTTGTTACAAACTATGATTCAAACACCGTCGGTGTTCTTCTCAACGCAGGCAATGGCACCTTTAATAATCAAACTACTTACGCAGTTGGCAGTAGCCCAGTATCAGTATCAGTCGCCGATGTGAATAGTGACAATAAATCTGATATTATTGTTACAAACTATGCCGATAACACCGTCAGTGTTCTCTTACATTGTTAAGGTGTATTGATGATTAGCCACTATTTATTCATTAACATTTTACTACTCTACTAAAAACATCACGCTTATAAAATATTGTACGATGAGAACTGCTATTTAAGTTCTCTCGATATTATGAATTTCAGCAAAATAGTACGATTATGGATAATATTGGACAGTAATTCATTATTTAATAACAAAATTTCTAGTTATGAAACTTTTCTGAATGCATAGAACTATATATATTGCAATTACTCAAAGTTCAACACATTAATTTTGGATTCGTAGAACAACATAGAAAAGTTTTATAAGCTAAATTATTTTTCTTTGCTCTGTTCAAATCTAGATCATTATTTATCGCCAGTCAATAAAATTCTTCTTTTGAAAATAAATAAACTGCTACTGATTCTTGGGGAGGGTGTGGGTGTGGGTGTTGTATTATTTGATCATCCTTTCATTCATGACACCCACACCCTTTTTGTTTATTAAATGTTCGGTGTATAAGATAGTATTGAAGATTTATTATTGATTTTTAAGCAACGAAGTTATGTAGAGAAATAAAGTTTCTTTATTATTTCATCCAGTTTTGAAATATTCTAATAGGAGCAATAAATCAACGATGATCTCAATATATTCTAATGTATAGTTTTACGAAAATTGAAATTTTTGATTCCATCAATCTTCGACATCTATTAGTTATATCACAAGAAAATGATATAGATCGAAATGTAAATCTTGATAGATAGATGCGTGCTGATGTAATTGGAGCAAAGGTTAAAAGAAGATATCAAATCTGAATCTAAACAACCGCACTCCTTAAGTAATAAAAATACTAATAAAAATAGAATTAAACAACATAATCACTGAAAATAATAAATGTTGAAGATATGGCTTATGCATGATTAATTGCTCAGATCGTTTTACTGAATGAGTGAGATCAATAATCATCCTATTTGTCAGTTGAAATTTGCACAGGTATGTTTATTGAATTAGACAATATTCAATCTATAGATCAACGATGATGCATGGTTCAGAGTCGGTTCAATACTTATTAAGTCTATGTCTCTATTCAAGACACCTAGAAAAGTGAATCTTTAAAGGGTATCTTATCACTAAATGAGGTCCGTTGTTTCACTGTATAATCGATCAAAAAGTGATTTGACAATTGGGAATATATTTCAGATACAAAATGATATTTTTACAGTTTCTTCAAAGTTTCTTTTCTAGGAAATTATTACGAAGCCTTTAATTGAAAACAATTGATCAGATCTTTTATTTCAACCCCTGAGTATTTCTAAGCTCAACTAAAGTCAATCTGTAATCATTTTTTGATAATGCCTGAAACAAATAAAATAATTGTAATTTACTCAACTGTGACTCTCACTACTGCTCTCTTTCTTCGATTCATATATTAGGTCGTAATTTTCGACAATAGATATTTGTAGCAAACTGATATTCAACATGATGTTATTTTATGTAACCTATAGAACACATAAATAACAAATAACGTTTTTCTATTTTATTTTCTGATGAAGTAATCAAATACAATATTAGGAACAAGAAAATTCAAAGAAGATCTCATTCGGACTTTACTCAATCCAATTAACAAAAAAATACTCATCTATATTGTGTATCAACTTCTCACTAAAACTGAATCAATAAATACATTAATTCTACTGGTTACTACGTTGTTGCTGTTGAGATCACTTTTCTGCTTTTTCTTTCTTCAAACAAGTAATTTCATCACTATGAGAAATCTATGACACATCACACATATAAACTCGCGTAAAATAAAAGAAGCAAAGCAAACAACACACAAGCGCATCGCAACAACTTTAATCAATGTCAAATCAAATGTCTCTTACTTTTCTTACATTACCAGTAGAAATTGTCTACCGAATTCTGGATCATCAGAGTGAAGAGACAATGCTGTGCCCAATGCGAAACGTCTGTCAACGGTTCAATACTATCATTGATAGTTATCACCGATACCAGGTAAAACTTTTTTAATGGTGAGGCACATTGCTTCAGCAAGTATTAATATGCTCAAAAAAACTGATTTCCATCACCAATGCAATATGAAAGAAATAAGAATATATACATAGAAGCAATCTTTTTTCTAGTCTTTTCTAAACAACGCATTGCTCTCATATTATCACTTTGATTCACACACCTTTCATGTTGACACTGATTTCCTAACAGAGACTGAAACCTTCACGGAAATTTCAGTTGAGATAAATCAATTCATTTGAGCATATATTACTTCAAATAGGTTATTGTTCGATACAATTAACGGCAGATGCCAGAATAAATAAATATCATAACACTTACACACCCACGAACAGCAGTACTGCAAATTAAAAAATGGCGATTCAAGGAAAAATAAGAAAATTCCGGAGATATAGACAAGATCAGAGAGTGGATGAGAGCAGATTAATAAAATTTATAACGGATGTAATGGGACTCCTCAAGATCCGACCATCTGACAAAATTCGATAAAAATCTCGTGACGAACTGATATCGGATTCCGATAAGTCATGGAACAGATACTATAGGAACCGATAATCGAGTGATCGACCTGAGAATACAACAGAAAACGTGAATATGGCCGGGGACCATAGTGAACAATGTAACGACAATGAAATTTCTTAGATTTTTTCTCAAATTTGTAGGCTTATTCAGAAAATCCTCACTATACGTATTTCTGAATCATACGGAAATCATGTCATGAGCAAATAATCATCACAAGCACGGCTAAGATAACTGTTTACAGATATGCGTCAAAATTTATAGTAGAACTACCAAATCATAAATGTTCTCTTTATAGCTAAACATGTGAACTAAACCCTGTTTATTATTCTACCAAATTCAACATTCTTCTTATGATATCTCAGTTTCAATCACAATACACAACAATTCGTTCATGCATAATATGATAGAAGCATTTATGATCTAACTAGTTTGATTGAATATTCATAAAAATTGAGAGAGAAAAGATGAACATGTCGCGCAATATCTCACTATAACCTTCGTCTACAATGACACGATTGGCTCATTCTTTCCCATAATATTTTCCGCAATGTTTCTATTCTCAGAGGTGAACGAAAAAAAATAAACGGCCATTTTTCATCCTCATCCTTCTTCACAAAATTTTACTAATATTTCATAGAATAATAGAGTAATTCCTCATGCATCTTCATCTATTCCATATAGGCACTTACCAACTTGGATCTATCTCACAAAAAAATCGGACTTGTTGGAGCACAGCATCTAGCAAATGTATTACAAAATAACATGGTAAGTATCATTCTCATCCTCATCTATTTCATCAATCAACCTGCATTTTTTCATACAGACACTTACCACATTAGATCTCGGGTGGACTAGAATCGGAGATGTGGGAGTACAGCATCTAGCAGATGCATTACAAACTAATACGGTAATTATTATTATCTTCCTCTATTTCATATATACAACTATACTTTTTCATGCAGACACTAACCACTTTAAATTTCGTCAGCAATCAAATCGGAGTTGATGGAGCTCAACATCTAGCAAATACATTACAAAATAATGCGGTAATTATCTATCTCTTCCTCGTTTGTTTCATATATTCATCTACACTTTTTCATACAGACGCTTACCACATTAGATCTCGATAGGAATCAAATCGGAGTTGTTGGAGCTCAGCATCTAGCAAATGCACTACAAAATAATGCGGTAATTATTACTCTCTTTCTTAACTACTTCACATATCCAACCACATTTCTTCATTCAGACATTGACTATATTAAATCTTGAACGGAATCAGCTGGAAGATGTTGGAGCTCAGCACATAGCAAATGTATTACGAACTAATATGGTAGTTAATATTCTTTTCCTCATCTATTTCATCTACACTATTTTATACAGACACTTACCACATTAAATCTCGACAACAATGGAATCGGAGATGTTGGAGCACAGCATCTATCAGATGCATTACAAAATAATACGGTAACTGTTAACCTGGCCCTCATCTATCTTATATATCTATCCATATTTCTTCATACAGACATTGACTACGTTAAATCTCGGATGGAATCAAATCGGGGATGTTGGAGCGCAACATCTATCAGATCTATTACAGAATAATACAGTAATCATCATTCTCACCCTTATCTATTTTATGTATCTATCTATACTTTTTCATCTAGGCACTTACCACATTAAATCTCATCAGCGATCAAATCGAAGCTATTGGAGCACAACATTTAGCAGATGCATTACGAAATAACACGGTAATTAATATAATCTTCCTCAACTATTTCATATATTCATTTGCACTTTTTCATACAGACACTTACCGACTTAAGTCTCGCCGGCAATGGAACCGGAGATGTTGGTGCACAGCATATGGCAGATCTATTACGAATTAATACAGTAATTATCATTTTCGTCCTGATCTATTTCGTATATCAATCTATATTTTTTCGTACAGACACTTACCTCATTAGATCTCACCGGCAATGAAATCGGAGATGTTGGAGTACAGTATCTAATAGATGTATTAAAAAATAATACGGTAACTATAATTCTCTTCCTGATCTATTTCATATGTCAATTGGTACTTTCTAATGCAGACACTTACCGCACTATTTTTGTGGTGTAATGAAATCAATGAAGAACTCTGGGATGAAATCAATCAATTGATTGAACAAAATAGCAGAATGACAAAATTGTAAATGTTGATATCAACGATATACTATCATTACTACTAGAAAATTAGTGATGAATATCTGGATGAGTTTCTTTATTGGGTATCATCGTGGCAAAATACATATAGATTGTTTCATTTTATATGATTTGTACTGTAATGTTATAAATGGGATCGGTTTATATTGATACTTGTCGCCATTTAGATGAGACATTGTTTATGGTGATATTTGTGTATGCAGATTATGAAATACTACGAAATTTTATATAATTATGTCTCGTTTGTTCAGAATAGGATGTATTTTATGAATAATGCATTGATATTCTAATTATTAACTGAATTGATTAGCAGTAAGCAGTAAGTGTCTCTAGAAAGAAGAAAATGGAGAACAGTACTACTGGTTAACATATGATTTGTTAGAATAAAATCTTGGTATGTGAAATGCTATCTTGTGATGAGATTGGAATATCTTCGGATGTACAAATAGATAAGAGATAGAGAGCTATAGAGGATGTGGGTGAGAGAATTAACTAGCGACATCAACACTCTTGCCCTCACTCACCCACCTACCCACGCCCACATCGACACACGCACTCACATATACCCTATGTTTTGGTGCTTTTATTGATGTATTATATTTTTGCATAAAAAATAGTTCAACTTAGATGAATTGTAAGAGTCAGATACTTGTTGCACAAACTAGAGATCATGAAAATGCAACTGATTATTTTTTGTTAAAATAACAAAACAGTTTTGATCCATTAATGTTGCATATTTAATGCTTTCACTGTATTCTATTGATTTTTTCGATTTAACAGTTCGATCAACTAGATTAAGTAATTTTGTCTCGTTGTCATACGCTAACCAATCTGCATTTGAAAGTGATACTATACATGGCGATTTCATTCCGTCATCTAATTGAATCATTCGTCTGACTTTACCTATTGATGCTATATCACGTAACTCAAATCGCCAATGACCACTTTCCTCCTCTGGTTTGCTCCAATCTCTTACAGCTATTCCCATCAAAATATAGGTTGTCACAGAAAATCGCATATCGATTTGAGACTCTTCACGCCAGATTGTATCGATTAATTTCCATTCTTCAACATTGAAAGTACATATTTCCAGCATCCAATTACTTGTATGATATCCTAATGTAAATATATTTAGGTAACATCTACAACTTTCGAAAGATTTTACTCTTAGAGCGTGACACTGCTGTTCAACGCGATGAATTTCATTTGTGTTCTCGTCATACGTATAAAATGAAAACGCTGGAGAATCAGCAACAATGATAAATTTGTTAAGGAACGACGACCAACAAATGTCATAAATGAAATCATAAATCCATTTTATCTGATTTACAACATTTCCATTACGATCAATGACATAAATATTTTCATTTGAACAGTAATAGAGTAGTAAATTTGTAGATGGGCATAACTTATAAACAGATTGACCATCTTCTATATCGATGACCATTCTAGGTGGATTTTTTAACTGACCGAAATTAAGTTCAATCGCATCGACGAATGTTTCTTTCTTCTTGTCATAAATCTTTCCTATATCATTTATAAACATGTACTGATAAAATGTTTTGTTATCGTCGGTCACACGCACACCGACTGCATCAGTTAACAGTGCTTTCTTCATGGTATTTTTTATTTCTTGGAGTCGTTCATACTTTTCTTTCTCACATAGGAACAAAACCACGTTCCAGATGCCATCCCGAATTTTTTTTATTGTTTTGATTTGGAATACTGAGCCTATCGAAAATAACACTTCTTCTTTTTGAGAGTAACTGACTGAATGAATAGCAGCATACGGATTTGTTGCGTTTATCGAAGGATCGATTTTTATTTGGAATAAAACAGGTTTCAGATGAACACGACGAACGACTGAAGATAATGCTGCATCTCTACAGGTATAAGTTAAGAAAAAATTATTTATCAATAAAAAGCCATTCACATTAGATTTCAGTTTGTTCAATTCTTCATTAGATAAATTGTGACTAAAATAAACAGTCGTTGGTTCATTCAGCAACGACTGTGAATACAATTGTTCTATCTGTTGATGTAAATCAATAACGAAAAATTGTAGATTGTTTATTATATCATTTTTCGTAACTAGCGCAGCTTTGTTAAGAAGGTTGGTCACGAATACGTTGCGAGTATACCACCATACAGCTTTATTTGGCTCATAATCTTTATCAAATTCTTCTACTAGTTTTAGCTGATCATCATTGCCCGCATACTGTAATCGGCATTCGTCCATCAGATCTTTTTTATTACTCTGTTCCCATACATCTGTTGATAAAAGACGTTCAAGATGATATAGTGCGGCTGCAAACAATGATTCCATTCGACGATTATAATCATCATATACTAGAGGTTCAATTAAACTTAAAACATTGATTCTAAATAAATTATATGATAATGACGAAACATTTTGTTTCAAATGATCGCTAACAGAATTTATATCACCATATTTTCCGGCAATTTTGTGCTGGTACTTCGATTTTATTGATATTTTGTTTATCGACGACTCAAACAAAATATATATTGATATAATTTGTTCAAGGTCAGTAACAATTGGAAGTACTTCTTGACATAATGACGACGATAGTATTAAGAAAATTTTTTCATCTATAATTTCGTTGATGTATTCAACACAAGGTTTGAGTTGATCAAATATTCGTAAGTAGTTTACAGTACGACGTAACTGATTTTTTAATGAGGTAAGTTTATCGTCTTCAATGCTATGAATATTAGGATTTAGCCAGATGATTAGAAAATTTTCCAGATTACGCTGATGAGATTCCTTGCCTGTATTATGATAAATTGTAGTTAATGCTGGAATTTCATCAGAAACAAGAATATCGTTTGTCATTTTTCGATGATTGACACTCTGAAATATTTATTTAACAGAGTTAAAAGAAGAGAATACACCCTATTCCGCGATGTTGAATATTGCGAAACTTTTCAATTCCCAGACTCAATTCCTTTCAATTCTACCCATTCTCGAAACCAGTTCCGATTTCATCAAATCCTGATCGATTCCAGTTTGAATCAATTCTTAAAATTCCGTAGCGAGATTGCTTTCAGTCATCACCCGTATGCATTGTTGTGTGGTCAGAGTTGAATCTCTAGAATGTGTAAGTAATTCCGGAAATTATATCAAAACGGTGTGGTCGTGGGTGGGTGTGGATGGATGCGGATAAGCGTAGGTAAAGAAAAGGTGAATTCACATCCTCACCCATACTGTGTCTTGAGGGTAAGGATGTGTTTGTAATCATGAACCAGAAAATCAGCTATACTCAAATCCGTCCACATCAATACCTCTGGCACAACAAGATTACTGTACGATGGAATATAGATTTTAGATGGTTCAGAGAAAATCTTTAACGATCAGAAATTAAAAATCTCAGGATGATCTTTTTTGGACTGATACACACGTCAGATAAAAGAGACTGACCTGTTCAGTTATTTCAGAAGTTGTTATCTTGTTGCAATCCATCAAATAGCTATTGGTCTTGTTCTGCTTATTGTTTTCTTGTGTATCAGTTGCTTGCGCTTCACACTTAGTATTTTCATTCATAACGACGTTCTGATCGTTTATCAATTTCTCATTGGATTCCGTATAATCACCTTTTAACATTTCAATAACGATTCCTACAATTTATTTATGGGCAAGATTATCTCAAAAATAGTAGTTTTTGTTTAAAATATATAATTGCTTTTTCATGAGATGAATATCAAAGAGAATTGTTTAATATATGCTTACCATGTTCGGATGATGACGACTTTGGCGAGACATTGGACAACTGGTCCTTAGTTTGAACAGCATCCGATATTATGGGATCAGACAAACTTTCATTCAGAGATCCAAGACTTGGCGATGACACGTTGGGTTGAAAGCAGATCTGCAAATAGAAGTTAATCGTTATTCGCATGCTTTAACTTTTACCTGAATGTGTGTTTTTGTCAGAGTTGCTTCGATTTGATCCATTATATGATCTATTTGTGCACAATCTTCAGCGTTAGTCATACTCATCTTTTCAAATTCTGTCCACATGTGTTTAAGATCATTGATATGTCTTTAAGAAAAATGTTTTTATTTAAAATATTCATATATTTATAGTCTTACTGGTGGTTGGTCGCTTGCGATTGTTTTAGTTTTTCTTCATACGCGGCATATTCAGTTTTGAGTGTGCGTTGAAACGTTTCTTCAGTAACTTTTAGAAGATTGAGTGATTCTGCCGTTTTTTCAGTACTTTGCTCTAGTCTTTCGTATTTCAAAGCTATAAAAATATTAGATCTTTCAAGAGCTATATCTCGAAGTAATAAATATAAGTCGAATGAAACAAATGTAATTCTTAAACACACTGATAGCGTCGATAACATTAACATCAACATTAGATGATTTCTGTTCGATGAATTATAGATATATAATCATATGTGTTAGAAGCATCTGTGACATCACTCTGATTCATTTTGTCAATGAGTTGATTATATACTATGGACGCTTTAACTCACTTGTCTGCTGATGTAAAGAGTTGATTTTTGTTTCAAGCATTGTTTTTCTTTGAGAAAGTTGATCTGCTTGTCGGTGTGTTTCAATACACAAAGAACATTTTGGATATTGGCAGAACTCACAAACTTTTAGTTCTCCATTCACATGACATCCTGTGCATTTTGCATAAATAACAGGAGAAGTGGCTGATGTCTCATTTGATTGTTTGTTTCCATGTTGTCGTGGCATTTTGATTTTGCGTAAAGAGAACTGATGTGTGTTGTTTGTTTCAGGTATACTATTTGTGAAAAACAGTCAAGTTATTATTTTCTCTTTTTTTTGTTAACTTTTATTCTTTCTCACGTCTGCATCAAACACGATGGTGAAAAGAAAAAAAACCATTTTTGGCTCACGCATGGCTTTTCTTATCGTTACTAGGCAAATAGAATAAATACGCGTTGATTTTAGAGAGAAAAATTTTAAAAACGTGGTTGATCAGTTCTACACAAGGTAATTAAATTGATAAGAGAAAAAAAGAGACATAACTGCTGGAAAGATCATCGTTATTTTGTATTTCAAATTAAAACAAATATCATTCGAGCTGGGTGTGGATGTGGGTGAGGTAATTAATCAACGACACCCGCAGCCTGGTCCATCTTACACTGATATTTCTTCTATGGAGAGAGAACTTGGAAATATTGAAAAATGTTTTAGTAGGCATATCCATACGACCAACATAGGAAATACTAGCATAATAATTGATGAGAATGGCTAACATAGACATTGTACCAAAGAATTATCGGGTAAACTAGACTCCAAAAAACCGTTCAATGTCATATAACAATGGCAATCCATCGATATTACTGACAGATCATCATCAAAGTTTGTTCGAAATAGAGAATAATTATTGAAACTCTAACAAATAAATAAGTTTGGCTTAATCCTCCTGCGTGCGTAGCTGTGATCGAAGAAAAACAAGATTACTCATCGCATATCGACTCTCCCTTACGCTCTGAATAATTTAATTCATCTGCGTAATAAGTTTGTCGTCAAATATTCCTTGAAACATTTATAACAAAAACACAACATATGAAAGGAAAAAGAATCAACTGGCTTCCTTTTCTTTTTCTGGAGTTTTGTTTCGAACAAAATGATGTCAGATGTGATTTATTCTCTTTTGTAAAGATAGAGTATCGAATAGATGCTTTAGTTTTATAGATGAAAAGCAGAAACAGATGGTATTCATAAACATGGAATCTAATTATTACTAAAAAAATATATAAAATCAGCGCTTTTCGGAGGAAATGTTAAGTTTCCTGACAAGATAAAAAAGCTTTAAAAACAAATCATATTTTATTATAAATGTATTTTAAAAGAGAGACGCGTAGATGATATTCAAAAAAATTATTGTAATATCATGTTCATATACTTTTGTAGTAATTATAAGCAAGTAATCATTTTATATAATTAATTTCAGAAAAATACATACAATTTTTTAGATGTGTTTTTCTGATCGAATAATGTTATTTGTCTTATATATCTACAAGTAACGTTCATCTGAACACTCACTCAGTTCTTTTTTGCAGAAATGCGAGCTCTTCATCTTCACTTAAAAAATAATGGAAAAAATTGATTTTCTTTGTTTGTCATCATTTCCAACATACACTTGTATCATAATGAGTAATATACACAAATCGAGTCATATTTGAGCGTACAACAATAGTTTTCTATCAGATTTGCCTGCAGCCAATTGTGTGAAGTCTGAAGATTCACATAAGCAAGCAATTTATGCTTGTTTCACTCTTTATTACCAGAATCCTGTTTAAAACCCACGATCATATGCCACCGTGTTTTTATCGTTTATTTTCTTTGTAGATAGTAAATGATTTTTGAAGCATTACACACATACCATATCTTGTTGCAAATTAATTTTCCTATGGATAATATTTTTTTTTATTTAGATTTATCTAATGAGTGTGAATAATAATGACTATAAATTTTTTTTATCATTTCTATATGTTATTTATTTAGACTTATCTAACGGACACGAATGATGATAAACAGATTTTTATTTAAGTAATATTTTCCTTTTGTTATTTAGATTTGTTTAGTGGATACAAATGACGGAAAGTATGATTTTATTTTTACGATATATTCATTTGTAGTCATGTAAATTCATTTGATGGACAACACCGATGGTAAGTATAATTTGTTTTTTCTCTTATCTTGATTTTTTTGTTTAGGTTTATTAACCGGTAGGACTGAAAGTAAGAATGATTTGATATGAGCTATCTCTTTAGTTTTGCTCGATTATTTCGTATGACATGAGTATGCTTCTCTATTGAAGGGTGTGAGTCTGAATGTAGTATTACTATTGTATCTATACAGTACCCATACCCACACAATTTATGTTTGCTAGATTCTTCTCTACGAGAAAGAGAACATAAGATTTATCAGTTCAAAACTTCTATGAATGCCTTCGTAATCTAGTGTTATACTACGTATATAATTGTAGATTTTCATTGCTGAGAACAGTTTTACGATACTGTTTTGAATATATTCAGGAGTGACCCACCAAGCAATATCGTCAAATCATATTTGTTGTCTCACAGATAGTTTTATCATCTAAAATAAAACATACAAATTGTTTTCGATACAGCAGATCAATTCTTTAACAATATTGATAAATCAGAATGGTGCGTTTTAAAATTTTAATTCATTCGATCATTGAGCGAATACGCAATTACAATGTCTTTATACTGGAAGAAAATGATTATGTCGATGACGCTGATCATGATAACGAGCAAGAAGATCCGATAGTTGTTCTCAAAAAGCAAAAATATTCAACTTGGCTATACATTTTTCTCGTCGTCAGTAAGTAAAACCTAAATTTCTTGCCTTTTAGATGTGAATTAAATCTCAGAATTTAAAAAGCAATCTTATAAAAGCATTTTCCCTGCTTTGACATGATTGAAGCTTACTTGTAACAGATTTTGCCCATACTTACAAGACAATATTTCAAGCACGATAGCCATTTATATCTTAGTGTGAGATAAAAACAACAGAAAATAAAAGGCAACTTTTTATTTCGAAGCACTTTTGAGCTTGAAACTGTTGAATAAATATTTTTTCATCAATATATTTTATTCATAGAAAAATGAAAAATAAGAAAACGATCGTGTAAGAAAATTAGTAATATCTCATTGTTTGCATTTTCTTTTAGTATCTATGTATATTCTTCTGTATACGACTTTGATGAAGTCACAACATCGAACAGTTATTGCATCCAATATCACGTCTATTATTTTCGATCAACTTTATATCGATTATGCAGATACTCTATCGTGCCCATGTTCGCAAGTTACTGTACCTTATGGTGATTTTGTTAATCACACAATAACATTTCATTCTGTTTGTGAGAGTATTTTTGTCAGTGAACAATGGATCCATGCATTGTACTCGGAAAATGCAAGTAGATATGGAGTACAAGATTTTCGAACGACAGCTGCTTCTCAGGTAAATCGATTCTTGTTCTTCATGAAACTTTGCTATGCCTGAAAAATAAGTTCTATTCGAATAAATTATTCTACATAGTCAAAATATTTCTTGATGTTCCATATGTAGAAATAGATTCTATCTTTTCGAGGGTGCGAGTGTGGATAGCTCTTCTCTTAAGTAACACCCACACTCGCCCCGTCCCGCCTCATCGATTTTTCGAATACTAAAAATTTTGTAGAAACTTTTCGCACAGATGTATCAGAAAAGGAAGATTGTTTTGGGTTTTTAAATGATAAATTCAGTTATTTTCACCAAAGATGACATTTTGTTGAGAAAAAAATACTAAAAAACAAATTTTTTATATTAGCTCGGAAAAGAAAAAAACGTCTGTGGGACAGATAATTTTGAAGAACCTATCCTGCATTTCATCGTTTTCTACCCCATCTCACAGAGTTCTGGTACGTGTCCTATCTAGTTTCTATGAAAGATTACGGTGAACAACTCTGATTTTCATTGTGAATAATTGTCGTCTCGTGGTATAACACGATCGATGATTGATCTCTTGATATTCATCTTATTTTAAATAACATCCTCTAAAATACTCATTCTTCTATTTGATTTATTTTTTATATAGTTTCGACTTATGGCTAGTCTCTGTTCATTGTCTCAAGATGCGATCTTTCAAAATCAAATTGATTTTGATAATGATAGTTTTATCAACAGTTATCTTCTTCGTGAAATTGAAGTTCAATATAGAGTGAATGTTACCATTCAATTTTTCAGGAGCAGTGCATCTACTCAAATGATGTCATTTCTGGAATACATTACAGCTACAAATCGGGCTAACTACGTAGTTTCGGCTCTCAATTCAAATTTCCTTTTGATAATTGGTACATATAAGAATCCGCCCGATCTTCTAAGTACAGAAGTGCCATATAATGAGCATAAGAAAAGTATTAATGAGTATTGGGACGCAGACTCAATGGGCTGTAGTAATACAAATCCAACAACTGCATCTGGCATTTTCTCATTGTTACAGGTAGAAAGATATTATTTACACTTAGAATGGTATGAACCTAAACCAAATTCAATACTGATCAATGGATTCTTTGCGGGATGTGTTCCTCTTGATGCTCTTCTTCGAAGTACACTCGATTGTTTATATAGTACTGAATGTCTTCGATTACTGGTGGACAAATTTCCAGCTATTACTAAAGTATACATGACACTAGCTTATCTTTCTTATAGTTTTTTATTTATTTAGATGAATATTAACTGGACCAATTCAGTTCTGCCTTTAGAACAAAATGATACATCTGTAAATGACCATTTACATAATCTATTTATCAAAGAATGGTCTGCGAAAATAAATCATGAAAATTATTTTAATAAATGTGCTCCTGCATTCTGTACATACATTGGCGACGAACAAATTAATTTTTCTTATGCAGCTACTCGATTCATTAGTCTTTATGGTGGTCTTATTATCATCCTTCGGCTAATTGCACCATTCTTAATTAATGTTGGTTTCACACTAAAATCTTATTCCACAAACGGGAATAACTATCAAGGTATATTTTGAATCTTAAAAAAATTAGTTTTATCTAACATGTAAAATTATCTATAATGTCTAGTTCCTTCTGTGATGGCACGTGTACGTAAATTTGGTCGATTTACGAAACGTTTAAATTTGTTCAAGGATGCTAATCAACGAACAGAACACACTAGGAGACAACAAAAAATTACTACACATGTCTACTTAGCCTCATTAACTGGTATGTTTATTTTTCATATATGTGTCTCTGACATAATATGAAAGATGAGTGTAAACCTAATAATCAACATGCTCATTTACTGTTCTTTTGCAAAATAGCACAGCTGTTTCATATTCATAGCTGACTATTTCTTATGTTGATTGCAATTTGTTTGAATACTATCTACTTTGAAATATGTTTGGGAAAATTAGTCATATATGAAAACTTGCTTTGTATTTAAAACTCAAATTCAACGTTCACTTGATTATAAGTTTAACTAGAAGAAAATCTAGATGTGAATATTTAACCAAACTAATAAGATATATCACTATAATGTGAAATACATTTATAATTAAATTAGGGTGTGAGATGGTGTAGATAAATTTAGGTAGTATGCGAGTAAGGATCTGTATATATATATACGATTATTCTGTTATACTCACACTCACTCAAAGTAAAAACCGTTTTACTTAAACTTCTAATTGCCTGAATCTTAAATAGTCGTATTGTTGGAGGTACATGTTTAAAATTTTTATTTTGTGTTTATAGGTTCGTTTCTGATTCTTATTATTTACTCATCATGGAGTATTGAAATGATAACAAGAACTGAACCATACCCGCCATTATCTACTTATAATGACTTACAAATTATATATTCTGAAACATTGAAATGTCCATGTTCTAATAACATAATACCTTACGAGAAATTTGTTTCATTGTCTGCAGTTCTACATCAAATATGCTTAAGTGATCTTGTTACAAATCAATGGATTTCATTATTGAAACAAGTCAAAACTTCATTAAAATCTCCAGATTGGCGGAATATAGCTTCTTCACAGTTTCAATTATTAGCTGATTACTGTAAGTTGACTAATACAACGATCAACGACACTGTTTATCGTTTTCTTTTACAACCTTTCGTTGCTTCAAACATATTGACTGAATCTGAATTTAATAAACAATTGAATGCAACTCTAGAGCATTTTTTTCGATCGACAATTGATTATTTTGATATTTTTCTCAAAACAGAACAAATTCTTACTAAAGTCGATCAACCTTTTTTTGGACCAATTACAAGTGATGAGCCATTGGTTGAAAACCATAATCCAGTCTTAATACAAACACAAAATGGAACGACAAATGTGAGTATACTATAGATATATTCTACTCAACATGTAGAAATTTTGATTTCTTTCTCTAAATAATAATGTCTTATGTTATGTACTTGTCTGAAGTTGATCAATCTGAAACTATGCGATTACAAGCATCCGTATTTTACGATGAAATCTTCTGAACAGATTAGCCGCTGATAGCCAGTGTGAGTCAAGATAGCCAAACACACGGACACTGCCTTTTCAGCCTAAAAACAATAGAATATATTCGTTAATTTTCGCATGATTAATTCGTTTGTTGGTTTAGTGCTTCTTTTAATTGGTTGTTTTCTAAAAAGTCTGTGATGTGTCCATAGCAAATGATTAATCTCAACTAATCACAATTCATTTTTTCAATTATTTCAGCTTTATCTTAAGCGAAAGTAACAGAATGTTCAAAAAGGCCTTTTCACGCTATACTATAAATGAAGGTGTGCTGTGGCTGGGTCTGAATATCAGTCGAATAAACTGCGCTCTCCCACACCACGATTCACCTTCGAAAAAGCTTCTTCTTTATTGGCAGTATAATATGAAAAGACCTTTCTGAACATTCTGTTACTTTCGTTCAAGATAAAACTAAAATGAATTGTAATTAGCGGAGATTAATCATTTGCTATGGACGCATCAAAGACTTCTCAGAAAACAACCAATCTAAAGGAGCACTAAACCATCAAGTGGATTAATCATGTGAAAATCACTGAAGGTGCCCTATTGTTTTTTAGCTGAAAAACAGTGCCCATGCGTTCGGCTATCTCAACTCAACCCGACTATCAGCAGCTAATATTTTCAGATTGTTAGTTTGACATTGACATCAATAAATTGATCGGAAAGTTATTGGTTTCTCTAACTGACGGTAGATATCGTTTGAGCTCATACTGGGTTGACAAGATTGCCCAAGTGGGATTAATAAAAGCCTAAAAGGATGTTTCCAGATAGGATTGTGGAGTCAAGTTCTGGCCTTTCAATTAAATTTTTGACCGTTTTTTCAAAATTGAGCAAAAAATCGAAAAATACCCTTTCAAACTACAATTTTGCCTGTAGATAGGTCTAATTGACTTTAGAATATCTTGAAAACTTCAACCGAAAAGAATATTTCTTTAATGGAATACTGAAGGTGTGGGTGTGGGTGTGGGTGTGGGTGTGGGTGTGGGTGAATAGAATGAGAAGACATTCACACCCACACCCACACCCTGTCATATGAAAATGACATACTCGGATCAATAATTTCTTTTATTTTTTTCTTGTTGATGTCTATTTCTGATTTAGATGTGATCTTTAAAAGTAGATAATAAAACAAACGTTTTTGTTTATAGGTGAGATTTCGGTTAACTGGACCTCGTACTGTGGAATCAACATCTTTCGAGTGTATTTGTGCTACGAATAGTACTTGTAAAAATTCCGTTAATATTTACGATGCTGAACAACTTTTGGCCTCTCATCCAACGTATATCCGTCGTTATACAATACCAGGCTTGATTGCGAGCTGTTCGGCTACAGATTCTCTAATGTTTTCAACGCTAGAATGTTACTATTCAAATTCAGATTGTTTATCAATTCTGAAGGATTTTAGTTACCAAACATATATCTACAATGTGGAGCATCCGAAATGGTTTGACGTCCATCCTCTTGTTTATGATTCAAATTCGAGCATTTACCCTCCGAACACATCTGTTTCAACAATAGTCAAAAACATGATGATAGAAAAATGGAATGCATCCTATTCATATGATCATTTTTATAAGTCATGTGCACCAAGTTTCTGTACTTATTCCGAGAAAAAGAGCCGAAAAACTATGATTGAAACAATGCTGACATTTGTCTCCATACTTGGTGGTCTTATTATTTCATTACGACTAATTATACCTACACTGATTCAATTTATCTTTTACTTATTGATGAGAATTCGTAATAGAGGACAACCACGGCAACGACAACGAGGTAATCATTTATAAGATTTCTATAAAAATAGTATTCAGTTGATTTTTTTCGCACAGTAAAGGTTTTTTTTGACGCAGTTTATATGAGATGAATAAGTTTGTCAATGTAGTCTTTCTGAAGTTAAATGTGTGAAATCGACGACATACGTCTTTGAAGATTAATTAATCGCTCGATGATAGAAAAAAATTTCAAAATTCTTTTACGGGTGCTCTGCTTTGACCTGTTCCGTTGCTATTTGCTTTTCTTGATCTACTATCACACTATTTTTGTAATCAATGACTTAAGAATCCAATAATCATGCCAAACAAATCAATTTGACGTTAGACAAGATGTTCACATACTATTATGTGTTTTGTTAGAGCCTATAAACATGATATTTATTATTCTTAAAAATTGGAACTTTATAAATTCGTTGTTGAGAGTGGGTGTAGGTGTGGGTGCGGATGCGGATTATTTAATTATTATCTACACCCACACCCTCAACTATTCAACTCGTTAGATAACTATCTGTTATATGAACTGTAAAAATTGTTTCTCGGATGAAAATAAATAATATAATGTTTGCTTTTTTCTTTATAGTTCCTATTGAAAGATGCCAGCGATTGAAGGCAACCATGAAGAACTTAGTCAGACTTTTGTACACTAAACTGAAAGATTTAAATATATTCTACATACGAGATTTTGGCAGTCATACTAATCGGATGAAAGCTAAGCGTCTTGGTCAATTCGCTACTCGTCTATATTTGATTTTATTCGTTATTAGTCTCGTTATTCTGGTTGTGTATAATACCGTTAAATCTCAAACATTTACGAAAACATTTGACAAACCATCTCACAATTTCTATAACCGACTTTTTTGGCAGTATGGTGATGAATTAAAATGTCCATGCTCATCGATCGCATCAACATACAATCAGTCTGTTCAAATAAAAGTGGTATTTCATCAGGTAAGAAGGAAAACATATAATCCCATCCATTTGAAAGGAAGAGTGAAAACTAGATAAGTCTTGTTTCAGAACGTATACAAAACGATCGCCATAAAATATAAGAGATAGATGTCTTCAAGAATTTTATTCAATTAAGTTGTATCGAACTTATCAAAAACTATCGATCTGGAGAGTTTTTTTTTCTAAAAAAGCAAATATAACGTATTCATATAAATCGAAATCGAAGCAAACAATTAAGAAACGCGCTCATTGTTTCTTTTCTAAACAGATTCGTAGTTTCTGCTAATGTTCATTTTAACTGGTTTATTCATTACATTCATTAGTTTATTATGTATAGTCGAATACGACATCGATGTTGTAAGAAATTTTTCATTTTCTTTTTTGAAAAATCCCTACAATGCACTAAAATATTTTCGAAGAAAAATGCTGCTATTTGTTAACAATTGCATGCTCGCAGAACAATGGATCGGTAGAATGTTTCTATAATACGAGCTGTGATCGAATATCAGAGAAAATAATGAACATTCACTATGACAAGTGTAAAATAAAACTTAATTAGAAAAACAAAGGTTCAGTGTATAGAAATTAAGTCCCTTATCTACAAATTTTTTCTAATTCTTGATTCTTAGTTTACATTCAGTTGCGCATGTTTTGTATTTAATTGAAATCATTTGAAATTGCACAAAACACTTCGATAAAATAAACGATATACTTAACATATTTTATGCATCCAGCTACGAATGTAAAAACAGAAAAGTCTAACTGATAGATTAATTTATTTAACCAAATCAAATAAATGAGCAGTGAGAAGATTCGTGCGATCTGGAAAACAGTTATGTATCGCTTACTGACTGGAAAAGAATATCAAATTGACAATTATAAATGTACGTTTTTCATATTAACATAAATAAATCTGATCTATTGATCAACACTATCAAACTTGTTCGAAACGTATTTAGAATGCGTTTCTTAATTGTTTACTTCCACTCTGACAGATTTTCATGAAACAACAAAGATAATAAAATATCTGTATTATGAGTGTGATTACGATAGATAATATTACTAATTCCTTATTTGCTAATCTTCTAAAAAGATTTATTTTCTCTCTTTTTTCAATTAATTTAAGATCTGTTCGAGTTCATTCGTTTCGAACGAAGGTCGAATGCTTCTTACAGGTACTCTTGTTTCTGATCTGTCTGCTTATGCTCAAAAAGATTATCGTCGTTTCCTCTCTGCTCATTTACAATTTCTTACTGATTTATGCCAACTTTCCAAGGATACGATAAATATTTCTATTCAACGATTCCTTTCATCATTATTGCTTACAACTGAACTTTTATCAGAAACAAATTTTCGTAAACTCATAAATGCGACTATCAAACAGAATCAATTAAGTGCCGCAAAAACATTTATTCGTCTACTTTCCTTAATACGAAGTATTAACGATGGAAATGCCATTATATCAACCTATGGAACAAATTTCGAGTATATTTTCCCTTGGGAAGATTTGAGTGAGACATATGCGCCTACTAGAGCCTTAATTTATGATAACGAATGTTCATGTGGATTATCTTCAAACTGTACAACTCAAGCAAATTTCATTGAAACAAATTCTTCAAAAATCAATCTAATCAAAGGTTTAAAAATGGGCTGTAAACCAAGTGAGTCATTTCTTGCTTCGACTCTTGAATGTTTCTATGATCAACCATGTATCCATCTCATTCAACAATATACAAATATTAATACGACTTCGATGAATCTTACATTTTCTCTAAACCATCTTTCAACAAACAATAGTCGATTTTCAATCAATACAACTATTGATAAATTGATCAATAATCTGTTCATTGAAGGCTTGAAACCTACGATTAATTATACAGCCTACTTTGAGCAATGTTCACCTTCATTATGTTCATTTACTTATATCCAGCAATTCAATATACTCCATACAATCACTGTTTTACTTGGTCTACAAGGCGGTCTCACAATTTTTCTTAGATGGGTTTGTCCTAAAATAGTTCGAATTATAAATAGCATTAATCAATATCGAAAGAAAAGAGTAAATACTGTTCGACCTGTCTGCATAATCGAAACAATACCCATTGAAAATCTGAATAGAGATATTAACCATTTGCCGCCCAATCTAGAAGCACTATCCACAAATAATAGATTCCGGTAGATTTTTTCACTTTTATTTATTTTATTATACTTCATATCTCTTCACTAGAATCAATTCCATCTTGTCAGTTCGATATATTTTCAAAATCATTATCATATCTGTGCTTTTACTGTGTGCAATAGCATTGCTTATTATATTTTCCATCTATATTGCACGACAAAAACAAGATCATAATTCATCAACAAGTATGAGAGTTTTCTAATACTTCGTCTATGATTAGAAGTTGATTTTCGACATAGAAATATGACTTTATCATAGTCACTTTCAGTTGTGATTAATTTTATCGAATAAAAAATATACTATGATTTTAATACTTCACGGTGTGGGTGTGAGTGTTGATGTTTCATACTAATCTCGATACCCACACCCACACACAGGTAAAAAATCCGATGATAAATTTTGTCGGACATTACAAAATTCCTCTATCTCATCATCTTGGGTGGATGTGGGTGTGGGTATAGATATCATATTTATATCACATTCGCACCCACACCCATCCTGATTCACAAGAATTCATACAAAAACGAATACTTATGAATGATTATTATCTTTTTATATCCCTGCTGAGGAACATCTTCATTTTATTGTTTATCAAATATTTCTTTAATAGTTTATTCAACTACTACAACTACTACTACTACTACTGTGTACGTATCAACTAATATAACAACCAGCATTATGTTTAATTCAACGACAAATACGAAATCAACAACAAGAACTACACAAAGTGAGTAAAGAATGAGTATAAGTACGAGTGTTAATGTGTCTGTATGTATTATTTTCTTCTAACATCTCGCATGTCTAGCGTTAAGATGATGAGTGATTCCATTTGTTAATTCTGTTACGAATGGTCTCTTAATAAGATAAAATTACTTCATTTCTTTTTTCTTCTCTTTAGATCCGACTTGCTTGTTAAACTATCAACGAGTGCCAGTGAAAAGACCGCCTGCTCCTTTAGCTAATGCAGGAACATACGCGATTGCGGACTTCAACGGTGATGGTTGGGTCGATGTAGTTTTTTCTGCAGATTATTATTTATATGTGCTACTTGGAATTGGTATTGGGATTTTTGAACAATATACACGTTTAGATATGTTTTTTGGTGATGTGAGCAGTATACTTGTTGATCATTTTGATAACGATAATACACTCGACCTCGTCGTTACTAGCTATACACTAAAAACGGCAGATATTCTACTTGGTTATGGCAATGGACGTTTTAGAAAGACAGCTACATTCAACACTAGCGCTCGATATTATTCATTGAAAACAACAGCTGTAGCTGACTTTGACGGTGATACATATTTAGATATTGCTGTTACAAATGCTCTTGACAACACTGTTAGTGTCTTGTTCGGAGAGGGCAACGGATATTTTTCAAATCCAATAAAATTTTACACTGGAGTTCATAGTAATATAGGAGAAGTTGCTGTCGCTGACTTAAATTGTGATGGTCATCAGGATATCGCTGTCGTTAATGTATTCGGTCGAAATATTGGTATATTTCTTAATTATGGCAATGGCACTTTTCAAGCACAAAAGACATCTTTCACTGGCGGTCGTTACGATCCATATCGTTTCGTTATCGCTGATTTTAATAGCGACCTTTTTCCAGATATCGTTGTCACCTACCGTGATCAAAATTTCATTAAAGTGATTTTTGGATATGGTAATGCAACTGTGGGTAACAGCAAGATATTTCAATTAGCAAATTATACGCTAGAAACCAAGTTATTTGTCCGTGATTTCAATAACGATCATTATCTAGACATCGGTTTTAACAATAATCGCGGCAGTCTGATAGCTTTAATTGGAGATGGGCACGGGAATTTTGAAAAGCAAACATTATTTACGATGGGACCGAATTTACCACTAAAAGTGATCGCTCTTCTTGACTTTAATAATGACGGTTATCAAGATATGTTCTGTGTTGAAGGTCGTACTACTATTGAGACAATTTTTATGAGCACATGTGCATGACATGCAACAAAGATTATTACGACAAAAGCATCCATCTAACAGTAATATTTTATCTGATTTTTATCTGGAAAAATCTACGTTTACAAGATATTTGACATTCTACCTATTAAAAAAGTACCAGAAAACATATCATAAAAGTTAACAATGTGAAATTGATAAGTTTGCTTCTATAGTTCTATATTTTTCTCAATTGAAAAGAGGATCATTTGAAATAAAATGCGTTTGCTTACATGCACAGATCTAATGTCGAAGGATGCATATGGGTGTGCCTGCCGCTGTTGATGAATAATAGAACCCTGCACTCTCATCCACAACCACACCCATTCTCAAGATAAAAACAATAACAATTAAAGACTTTTTCTTCGCAACAATCTTGAGAGTGTGGGTGTGGGTCTGATCTATGAAGAGAATAATACCCACATCTACTTAATAATGATGTGTTATTTATCTTTTTTCGTTTCTTTGACATACTCACAAAATATGCAGGTTTTCAAAGAGACAGTATCCGTCTTATCGCTAGTTTATAATAGAAAATTATCAGCATAGAAGCACAAGATAATTTTGAATTATTATCAAACAGACTAGAAAACTTTGCATTCAGGGAGGAAAACAAGTGATAATGTATGAAACTATCTAAATAATCTACGTAGATCTGACGATTGTATCTCATATCGATTTCACATTCAGGATCTTTTTTTGGTGACAAATACCAATCAATAAATCAAGTTTTATTATATTGAATCATTCCACATGAAGAATAATAAAAGAAAATAAATATAGTTGATTTATTCGGGTAAATCTAGAATTTCACCATGTTTCAATACAATAAATGATGTTGGATCAAGATGATTATTTTGAAGTGCTTGTTTAAGATTTTTTGGTGGTTCCATAAAATATTCATTACTCATAACCCATGTACCCCAATGAATACCAATTGATTTCTTTGATTGAACATCTTTATGTATTTGAACAGCTTCATCTGGTGATACATGTTGATTTTTCATTATTGATTTTGGTTCATAAGCACCAATTGGTATAGCACTTAAATCAAATGGACCATATTTTTGACCAATTTGTCGAAAAATTGAAATATTATGTGTATAACCCGTATCTCCAGCAAGATAAACTTTATATGTATTATCCCAAATAGCAAAACCACCCCATAAAGATTTATTTGTATCGAATAGACCACGACGACTCCTACAATGAAGAAATATATTTCATCATTCAAATAAATCAATAAATCTTACCAATGTTGAGCTGGACAAAATGCAATATTAATATTTTTTTTCTAAAATATCAAAATCATTGTAAAAGATTTTTCAAAAAAAACTGAAAATATTCTTACTAAAAAGAAATATTCTTCCCACCAATCGAGTTCGATAATATTCTTAACATACATATCCGATAACGATTCTCGAACTCCTCGACCACAAAACCAAGTTAATTGTTCACCATAACGATTATTTAAATCTTTTACACTAAGATAATCGAGATGATCATAATGATTATGTGTTATAAATATAGCATCAAGATCATCTGGTAAATTATTAACTGTTAAAGCGGGTGGTCGAAAACGTTTTGGTCCAACACGTGAATACATACCGCATCGTTCACTATAATAAATCAAATTCTTGTTTTTTTTCATCAAAACAAAATAACAAAATGAAGATTTACCTGAAAACTGGATCAACAAGAAATCGAAAGTTATTCATTTGAATAAAACATGATGCATGTCCAATCCAAATAAATCTTAGACCAGGTATTGTTCGATTGAGATCTTCACGTTTCCAATGTTGAATAATCGGTAAAAGTTTATCAAGTTCTTCTTTTTTATCTGGTAATTGTACATTGGATCGTGTTGTTATCTTCCATTTTAAAACAGACATCCAACCAGATGATGTATATTGTGAATTAAATGAATTAACATAACGTCCATTTTCCATTCGAGATTTGATAAATTCATCATTTGTAAAATTCGTTGCTGTTAGAGAGTTAAATAATATCAAAAAAACTACGACGAAACTAATCTGTAGAATCATTTTCATCTCAAGTGCAAAATACAAATGATTGTTTTTCTAATCAATGTATTTGTAATATTACGCTTATCTTTTTTCACTAGAACATGATACTTCACTTAATATACGATGCATTAGATCACAGTCCATTGATAAAAAGTGCACAATCAAGGATGTGGGGGTACTCTATTTACGTAATTTAATTGTTTCTGTATTGATACAGTTGAAATAATTTTTGAATAACAATTTTTTCTGTTCGTAACACGCATGATGTAAAATATACAATTCTATCGTGGTGTTTTTTTTTGTCAAACCAATATGAACAGTTATTTCATGCGTCAAGTGCATGAAATTGGAAAATTTCTCCAAAACATTTCAAATTGGTATAAATGTGAAATAATAAACAACAAGACCAGTTTTATTGAAAATTTCTATTTACATATTTTTTTCCGCTGAACAACGTCAAAAATGTCTCTGGACGAACAGAAATCCGATGAAAGTTTATTGTCGTCTTATCGAATCAGTAACCGTCTTGCTCAGTCCAAACTATTTGTCAGTGCTGAACACCGTCAAACAAAAAAAGTCTATCGAACTGAAATTGATCAAGATACAATTGGTAAAATTACTCAAGGTATTTGTGATAAATGTGAACAATTGTTTGATCTTTTACAAGACTTGATCGACAATGAAGGAAAAACTAATATGGCAAGTCTTGAACTCACAGATGATGAAACAAAACTTTTATTTAATGTGACATTGACTATTGTTTTTGGACGAACATCACGTGAATTTCCAATGAAACTTGAATTAGAAAATGTTGAACTTGATGATATTACTCGACTAGAAAGTATTATTCATGAACAAGCTCAACAAATTGAACAATTAGAGTGGAGTCCACATGATCGTTTTGATCGTGCATCAAAATTACCTTCACTTGTTAAGCAAGATTTTCATTTTCGTAATGTCTCTTCTTCTGAACTTGCTGCTTTATCTGATAATGATCGAACAATGCGTTGTCCAACCTTTAAACATCATCAAGAACATCAACATTATAGTCATAATTCGTCATTTAGTATTGCAACATCTACTCAAACTTTAGAGACATCTACTGGTACAAAAGCGATTGTTACAACTAATCAAGGTTTTCTACCGAAGAGTAAACGTTATCAATTAGTTCGATTTGATGTACATTTGTCAGGTCCTATCAATGAAAAAGATATTTTTTTAATTGGTCTTATCGATGAACCTGATACAAAGCAATGGGAGACATTTCAATGCTCAACTGGAACTTGGGCTTTTAATGTTTGTAATGGTTCAGTTCAATATCCCTCTGGTGACACACGTCCTTATACATGTTCATTGAAAAGATTAGAACGAATTCGTCATGTAGATATATTATTCGATACTCAATATCATCGTTTGGCATTTCGTATAGATGATTATACTGAAGATCATTGGGCTTTTTGTTTACCTAAACAACTACAAATCAATCAATTATATCCTTTTATTTATCTGCATAGTATGAATATGTCGGTATCCATTGCTCAATAAATGACTACATTTACTTTATCACAAGACAAAATACTTTCATTCTATAAAGATTTTTTTTTTCATTCCTTTCATTACTAACATGTAAATTTATGTAAATATATAAACTTTTGATAACAGCAAAAAGTGTGGGTTTTTTTTAAAGTCCTTTCCTGGGTAAAAAAATCTCATTTTTTAACTATAAATTACTCATCATATTCATCCATTTCACACAAATCCAATATTAATGGAAAAACCATTTTGGAAATATATGATTTCTAATCTACATTTCACTGCATATCATGCTCGTCAATTGAATAATGAACATGAGAATTTCAAATTTATAATGATGTTGTTGTGATAGAAAATCCTCGTATGGTACCTGTATTTTATATGTATACATTACCTGCGCCAGACAATTTTCCATTGAGTGCAAAACGAAAAACTCGTCGGTCAGATCCGAAAATTTTAGGAACATCAAATCCAAATGATGTAACAATTTATGGATATCCTGAGAATATTTTTCCTCCATGAATTCTGATCGTCGAAAAGAAACTCATGTTTATCGTCTTCGTCTATCTGATTTTAGTATAGAACGAATAAAAACAACAGGTAATGGACCAATTGGATGTACATATAGTTATCATGCAAAATTAGAAACAATTAAAGATCGAAAAATGATTAAAACTACTTTGAAAGATCATCAAAGTTATCGATTGGATATTGAAACTGCTCAATGGACAAGAATGAAAAAATGAAATAAAAATTTTATTTGTTAATCTTTTTTTCGTCCAACATCTAGAAGAATATTTGTAAAACCAATATTTAGAATTGTATTTATATCATTTTCTTCTTTAATATTCATAATCCCAGCATAATCAGTTCCACCAACTGATTTTCTTGAATGATTTGATAATAAAAATATTTCTTTTGATCTTGGTATTAAATGAATACATTTCTTTGTAATAAGAACATTATAAGAAGATTTTGCTCCATCGAAATGTTTTCCTTGTTTAAAATGAAACATTTTATCTAAAAGTTGAATAAATTTATTCATAAGATAATTTCCAAGTTGATCTAATTGTTCAGGTATATGAAGAAGAGATATAACAAAATGAGCCCATGGAACTTGTCTAAGTTGATTCGCTTGTTCATATTGATTTTCATCTTGAAGATAAGTATCAATGGGAGGTTCATTGTCTTCAACTGGATAAAATTGAATATGTTTATGTTTTTGACTTGCACCTGATTCTTCACCACAATTAAAAAATGCAATCAGTTTTGTTGTTTTATGATTCTGAAGAATTTCATAAATTAGTGTTAAATCATCAGATGATAAAACATCAGATTGTTTTGCAAAATCTTTAAAGATAAACAGAATCTATTGAAAAGAATATTCTTCTTTCTTTATTAACATACCATGTGGTAAGAGAAGAAAATGATTTTTTGTTAAAGGATATTTATTCAATAAAACAACATATGTTGTTTGATTTAATCCATAATTTGATATATCACATACATGAAGATTTCCATATGGAGGAGAAAGAAAATCTTTACCGATTTTCTCTACATCATCTCTTACAGGTTTTTTTTCTAAACCAGGAACATATCTGATTTGATACTAAAGAAATAAATTAGAAAAAATGCTTTTCTTGTTTCTTAAAAGCAAATATTTACTGAACATCCATCAATGAACTGTTCGGTTATTTGAAATCCTTGAAAAATAATATCACCATTTTTTAATGCATTTTCAAATGTAGTTATAACGAGATTTTCGATATTTATCAATGAATCTGATATCATTTTATATTGAAAAAGTATTGAACACTATTATAATTGTAGTTCGATTATAAAAAAAAACAAATCTAATCATTAAACAGAAAAAGAGATGTCGCATCGCGAAAGTAAAGATAAAAATCGAGTTTTTTCTCTTTTTTCTCCAATAAATAAAACCAGTATGAAACAATGTTGAGGAAACCTCAAACGCATCATGTTTACCCCCTATCATTATTTAGAGCTCTTGACAAATTATATCTACTCCAAAAACACTAGGTAAGACGAGTTATTTCTAAATGAATTTTTGTTTGTATCTAGCGGGATAACGATCGTAATCAACCTCATGAATCTATAAGAGATACAGACATCAGTATTTTCATAATAGCTTACCAATATTAATAGCTATCGAGTTCGGGTTTTTACCTTTCGATAGTCCTTTTGACTAGCTACAAAAACCAGACATTTGCATCTTGAGGGTGTGAGTGTGGGCATAGATAGTATACCCAAACCCTTCTTTCGATAGAGGTGAATAAATTGATTTCACAGAATATTTGTTTTTCTTCACAATCACCTAGAGATTTGTCTCTATTAATATTCTTTCAAATCTATCACTGATCAGCAGTTCTTCGATATTCTCTTTTTATTTTCAAATGAAAAATATCAATAAGAGAATATTATTTCATTTGACAGATTTTTATCAAAATAAATTCCTATCTTTCGATTCTATTCATTGCAGAAAATTAAAAAAACAGCGAAGTTTATTCGGATATAAGTGAAACAGAAAATTAGATTTTCAATAAATCGTAAAAGAAAAAAGAATCGAAATCATGAATATCTGATTGCTGATTTTTCAGACATTGGTCAATGAAATAATTTAATACTTCATTATTTAAACTTCGACGATGTTTTTCTAACGAATCGATCACTTCTAATAGAGTTGATTGCTTATTTTGAAAATAATGCTTTACCCAGTGTTAGGATCCGTGTTCGAGTTCAGGATTTGAGAAAAGACAAAGAGTTGTTCAGTTGTGGTTTTCATCCGAAATCTGTTTTTATTTTCAAGAAGTTAAAAATCACGAATAAGTGTTCACAACAAAAGAAAACAACAGCTGATGAAGACGACAAGACAAAAAAACAGCCATTCGCGTAGACGACTATCCATATAAGAAATAAAAGAAGGATCGTTCATCGACTATATAGAGAACGATCATAACAATCTGTCTTCATACAATTTCGGTAAAAAGTCAGTTAGAGCCTTTTTTTCATTCATATTCGAAATATTTGTCGTGGATAACCATAATTCTACTCAGGACGATCATTCCGACCATCAATGCTTACCGAAAAAATAATTTTTTATGTTTTGTTCCTGTTCTGCTAAATCTTTTAACTTTCTTTCGATCTGTTCCTTCTGTTTTTCCATTTGTTCTTTCTCTTGTTCGATTTGTTTTTTCTGGAGTATATATTTTTCAGCTATATAATCATTATTTGCGAGATCGGATTCATTAATTATAAGTGGCGGTGGACCTAACGCTGCTGGTGGTAATATGCTTGATACACTTTGCTACAAAAATACATATGAATGTGAAAAAATATCTTTAGCAATCAATATATTTTTTACTGTGTCATTTGTGGTCAGTGGTGTTGACGGTGATGTATTTGATGAAGGTGATGTTGGATTGTCCTGCAAACATACAAAAGAAAATGTTTTACAATCGATACTATATTATTAAAATCTTGTGTTGACTAAAAAAATCTATTTTTCATCTTTATAAATATATTTCTTTTATTATGAGGTGTCAATACCATATACGCTCATGTAAAAAAAACTAACTTACAAAACGAATGTTGGGTGGTCCGCATATGGTAACCTGTGTTTCTTTAACGAATCGATCACTTCTAATAGAACAGATTGTTTATTTTGAAAATAACTCTTTACCCAGGACGATTATTCCGACCATCGGAAACGGGATCTTAAACAACCTGAAACGATATATTACTGCATTCATTTTTACCGTTTTTCTGTGGTTACAGTCATTTACGTTGTCATTATTTTTCACCTGAATATCATGAAAATCAGTTATTGCATCTAATATAAATGACCGTGATACAGCTGAATAATCTAATACAATTCGTAGATAATGTAGTAGTTATCCAATATCTGAATCCTTTATGATTGCTTTTAATTGTAAAACTCGTAATGGCGTAGCTACGATCCTTCCGGTGGTTGAACGAGTGATCACGTAATATTCGAATACTAACATATTTATTTACATAGTCTTCTACCAATACATTTGTCACTGACTATATCGATACAAACGAAAAAAAGATGGCAACAACAAAAAAATACATTACCGTTTTGCTTTTTGTTTGTTCGTTGCTAATGAATCACTTTTGTTGATCACGAATATTTGTCACATTTGCATACTTTTAGATGAAGCCAAAGAAAACCATGTGCGCAATGAATCAATGCTTCTATCAAGTTTCATCTTTTTTTCGCGGAATGATTTTATGTTTTGTAAGCAACATATACATACACTTTTTACTTTTCGACAACAAGAAAAGTGTTTTTTATGCTCAAAAGATCTTTGAAGATGTATCAAGCTATATGTAAGTGATAGCCAAAAAGGATATATAGTCAAAGGATAATGAAATCATTCCTGGTGGAGGTTATCGTTGTCAAAAATGACAAGCAATATAGTTTAAACCTAATGGAAACTTGCAATTTAGAAAAAACCTATTCTTTATTGTAGTTTGTCTTGTCACTAAATCTGTTTCAGTTATTGTTAACTGCTCTTTTTTATTCTGTTGCAAAATGTCTAAAATATCACTTTTTTTGCTCTAAATTGGATATCATTTATTAAAAATCAGGTTTTCTGTGGTTGTCTAGTTTTTACGAAGAATTATTTTATTGAACGGTAGTTCCTAATTTATTTATATTTGCTATGTTATTTTAAAACTGGTCATATGTGCATACATTCATACAAAGATCACGAATTATTATATTATAATCACCATAATCAATAAAAGATGAAAAATCATGCATGATTAAGTCTTTTTTTTGACTATTAATAACGAATGCACTTTTTTAAAACACAAATCTCTGCCACCAACAAGCATGTTGTCAGCTTGTGCGAGTCGTTGAATATTTGATCATACAAGAAACAAAATATTTCCAACTTGTGGATTCTGAAATAACAAACATCACTTAACAATGTTTTTCTCTGTAAAAACAAAAAAGATCGTTCTTTTTCGCGGATTAGTTCGATGTTTGTTTTTCATAGTAACATCAAGAAGCAGTTAGAAAAAAACAAAGTTTCGCAAGTCAGTAGACACCTATAAAAAGAATCGTTTTTGATCATTACTTCACTGGTAAATTTTACACAGTGATTCCGATTCAAATCATTCACTTAATAAACAATGATCAAGGGAAAATCAACAAGAAATGCATCAGCAGTTTCAAAAGGTGCAGAAAGTCGTCAACGTATCAATCTTCAGCAAATGCAAAATGTTCTTTTAATCTGGTTAGACAACAATATCGACGAGAACAATGACGATTGCCAAAATACAATCATAAAATTACGACGGGCTGTAAACGACACCAATACATTTACAGATGTTGATCAGTGCTTTGAGTTCATTGAAACAGTTGTCGATAAAAAGGCATGTATAATCATATCTGGATCACTTGGACAACATTTTGTGCCTTTTGTGCACAATATGTCCCAAGTTGATTCAGTATTTATCTTTTGTGACAACCGAAAATATCATGAACAATGGACCAAAGATTGGCCTAAAATAAAGGGTGTCTTCACAGATATTACACCCATCTGTGACGCACTTAAGGAAGCTGCTCATCAATGTGAGCAGAATGCCATTTCCATGAGTTTCGTGGGATCTAATAAAATGTTGGACCAATTAGATCCTTCTTTTATGTACACTCAGATTCTCAAAGAGATCTTACTAATTATCAAATTCAACCAGAATCACATTCAAGATTATTTTGATCACTGTCGTGATGCTTTTGCAGGTAATACAAAAGAAATCGAAAATATCAAACGATTAGAAGCTGAATACCACAGCAAAACGCCGATCTATTGGTATACCTGTAACATGTTCCTGTATCCCATGCTCAATCGTGCATTACGATTGATGAGCGGTAATATCATTATACATATGGGTTTCTTCATTGCTGATCTCCATCGACAGATTGAACAACTGCATAAGGAACAATATGCTAGGACAACTGCTGCTAACACCTTTACCATTTACCGTGGTCAAGGTTTATCTACAGGAGATTTTGAACAAATGAGCAAAACTAAAGGTGGCCTTATTTCATTCAACAATTTCTTATCTACCAGTAAAGATCGTGAAGTTTCCTATGCTTTTGCTGAAAGCAATCAGGCCAATCCAGATCAAGTCGGTGTACTTTTTATTATGAAGATTAATCCTGCTCAATCAACAACACCATTTGCTTCCATTGCTGGTATTAGCTACTTCGAAGGAGAAGAGGAAGTCTTATTTTCGATGCATAGTGTTTTTCGTATACAGGATATTAAACACATGAATGAAAATAATCGTTTATATGAAGTTAATTTGACACTTACTACTGACAATAATGCAGAATTAAGCAGACTTACTGATTACATTCGAAAAGAGAGTTCTCCAGATGAAGAAGGATGGCACAGATTGGGTACTGTACTAATTAAAATGGGTCAGTTTGACAAAGCTGACGATATTTATCAACTTTTACTTGATCAAACACAGAATGATAAGGGCAAAGCAGATATTTATCATCGACTTGGTGTTATCAAAGCTAGTCAAGGAAAATATGAAGAAGCACTTACATTCTATAAAAAATCACTTGCTATCAGACAAAAAACTCTTCCTCCCAATCATCCTGATCTGGCTTCTTCCTACAACAACATTGGTTTAGTGCATGACAGCATGGGTAATTATCCTAAAGCACTTTCTTATTTTGAAAAAGCCCTTG